GAGTTTCAGTGGAAAAAGTTATGAAAGAAATAAATTAATTTTGATTTGCAGATTTCTCAAATATTTTTTTAAGGAGTAACAGAGTTGAAATTCGTATTTAACATCTCCAAAAGCGTTCAGGTACCAATTTTCATAGCAATCCAAAAATACAACTTTTTTTCTTCGAATTTTCACCAAGGCTATATATAGCCTTAGTTTTTTCACGAAAATCACCAAAAATTTGATAATCATGGATTTCGACGAATGAGGTATCAAATGAAAGGTTATTTGATGGAGAAATCAAGAGCAATAGTCAAACCTTCCCGGAGTTTCAGTGGAAAAAGTTATCAAAGAAATAAATTAATTTTGATTTGCAGATTTCTCAAATATTTTTTTAAGGAGTAACAGAGTTGAGATTCGTATTTAACATCTCCAAAAGCCTTCAGATACCAATTTTCATTGCAATCCAAAAATAAAACTTTTTTTCTTCGAATTTTCACCAAGGCTATAACCTTAGTTTTTTCACGAAAATCACCAAAAATTTGGTAATTATGGATTTCGACGAATGAGGTATCAAATGAAAGGTTATTTGATGGAGAAGTCTAGAACAATAGTCAAACCTTCCCGGAGTTTCAGTGGAAAAAGTTATGAAAGAAATAAATTAATTTTGATTTGCAGATTTCTCAAATATTTTTTTAAGGAGTAACAGAGTTGAGATTCGTATTTAACATCTCTAAAAGCCTTCAGGTACTAATTTTCATAGCAATCCAAAAATACAACTTTTTTCCTTCGAATTTTCACCAAGGCTATAGCCTTAGTTTTTTCACGAAAATCACCAAAAATTTGATAATCATGGATTTCGACGAATGAGGTATCAAATGAAAGGTTATTTGATGGAGAAGTCAAGAACAATAGTCAAACCTTCGCGGAGTTTCAGTGGAAAAAGTTATGAAAGAAATAAATTAATTTTGATTTGCAGATTTCTCAAATATTTTTTTAAGGAGTAACAGAGTTGAGATTCGTATTTAACATCTCCAAAAGCGTTCAGGTACCAATTTTCATAGCAATCCAAAAATACAACTTTTTTTCTTCGAATTTTCACCAAGGCTATATATAGCCTTAGTTTTTTCACGAAAATCACCAAAAATTTGATAATCATGGATTTCGACGAATGAGGTATCAAATGAAAGGTTATTTGATGGAGAAGTCAAGAACAATAGTCAAACCTTCCCGGAGTTTCAGTGGAAAAAGTTATGAAAGAAATAAATGAATTTTGATTTGCAGATTTCTCAAATATTTTTTTAAGGAGTAACAGAGTTGAGATTCGTATTTAACATCTCCAAAAGCGTTCAGGTACCAATTTTCATAGCAATCCAAAAATACAACTTTTTTTCTTCGAATTTTCACCAAGGCTATATATAGCCTTAGTTTTTTCACGAAAATCACCAAAAATTTGATAATCATGGATTTCGACGAATGAGGTATCAAATGAAAGGTTATTTGATGGAGAAGTCAAGAACAATAGTCAAACCTTCCCGGAGTTTCAGTGGAAAAAGTTATGAAAGAAATAAATGAATTTTGATTTGCAGATTTCTCAAATATTTTTTTAAGGAGTAACAGAGTTGAGATTCGTATTTAACATCTCCAAAAGCCTTCAGGTACCAATTTTCATAGCAATCCAAAAATAAAACTTTTTTTCTTCGAATTTTCACCAAGGCTATATATAGCCTTAGTTTTTTTCACGAAAATCACCAAAAATTTGATAATCATGGATTTCGACGAATGAGGTATCAAATGAAAGGTTATTTGATGGAGAAGTCAAGAACAATAGTCAAATCTTCCCGGAGTTTCAGTGGAAAAAGTTATGAAAGAAATAAATGAATTTTGATTTGCAGATTTCTCAAATATTTTTTTAAGGAGTAACAGAGTTGAGATTCGTATTTAACATCTCCAAAAGCCTTCAGGTACCAATTTTCATAGCAATCCAAAAATAAAACTTTTTTTCTTCGAATTTTCACCAAGGCTACAGTATTAGTTTTTTCACGAAAATCACCAAAAATTTGATAATCATGGATTTCGACGAATGAGGTATCAAATGAAAGGTTATTTGATAGAGAAGTCAAGAACAATAGTCAAATCTTCCCGGAGTTTCAGTGGAAAAAGTCTGAAAAAAAAAAATTAATTTTGATTAGCAGATTTCTCAAATATTTTTTTAAGGAGTAACAGAGTTGAGATTCGTATTTAACATCTCCAAAAGCCTTCAGGTACCAATTTTCATTGCAATCCAAAAATAAAACTTTTTTTCTTCGAATTTTCACCAAGGCTATATATAGCCTTAGTTTTTTCACGAAAATCACCAAAAATTTGATAATCATGGATTTCGACGAATGAGGTATGAAATGAAAGGTTATTTGATGGAGAAGTCAAGAACAATAGTCAAACCTTCGCGGAGTTTCAGTGGAAAAAGTTATGAAAGAAATAAATTAATTTTGATTTGCAGATTTCTCAAATATTTTTTTAAGGAGTAACAGAGTTGAGATTCGTATTTAACATCTCCAAAAGCGTTCAGGTACCAATTTTCATAGCAATCCAAAAATACAACTTTTTTTCTTCGAATTTTCACCAAGGCTATATATAGCCTTAGTTTTTTCACGAAAATCACCAAAAATTTGATAATCATGGATTTCGACGAATGAGGTATCAAATGAAAGGTTATTTGATGGAGAAGTCAAGAACAATAGTCAAACCTTCGCGGAGTTTCAGTGGAAAAAGTTATGAAAGAAATAAATTAATTTTGATTTGCAGATTTCTCAAATATTTTTTTAAGGAGTAACAGAGTTGAGATTCGTATTTAACATCTCCAAAAGCCTTCAGGTACCAGTTTTCATAGCAATCCAAAAATAAAACTTTTTTTCTTCGAATTTTCACCAAAGCAAAGGCTATTATCAAATGAAAGTTTATTTAATGCAGATTTAATTAACCAAAGTCACATATTTCTGAATTTTAGTTAAAAATGTCCTGAAAGATAAGGACCTTTATTTCAAAATAACTTTAAAAGTTCACAATTTTTTACTGGTCTGCACCAATGATTATTTGAAAAACTTGTGAATTACAAACAAAACAAAAAAAAAAAATCATTAAAATTCATTTTATTGTTGTACATTTGCAACAATTTGTACCTAGTGATAGAGTAAAATATATTCAAATTATTGCTTAAGATAAACAGAGTTGATATTTTCTTAGCACTTCTAAAACCTCTAAATACAAATTTTTAAAGCAACTAAAAAATGCTTTTGTTTTAAGTTTTAACTATGGTTTTGTTGAGGTTAAGGATAAGATAAATGCATTTTAAAAAATAATAGAGCAAAACTTTATTTGCAAAAATAAGTTTTATAAAGACATTAGTTCATATTAAAGTTAACAAGTGGTCTATTATTAAGTGCAAAATGAACCATAATAATTACCAATGATTTCTTCTTATTTTTCTTTACTGAAGTCCTCCCAACTTTGTTAAAATAGTTTGTTTTTTTATTTCAGGTTTTATATCAGTATAATTTTATATTTTTTCATAATGAAAATTACAATACAAGTGCAATACCTATAGGAAGTAGACGATCACTGTCAAAATAATGTTAAAATAATACATGTACTGGAGTTCAAAATTTTAAATATAATCATTCTCATGTCTAAACATTGTGCTATTTTCTTATAATTTAATAAATCTTCTAAATTTTCAAGCGCATTTATAATTAATAAAATTTATAATTTCGAGGAAAATCACTTATTTAACCGTTACACCTTCACTCCATGTTTCAATTCATTTTAATTTTCTCGATTAAAAAGTTTCAGGCAATTTTGCCCATTTTCAAGTTGAAATATTTATCCATAATTATTATAACACAATAATTATAAACATATATGTAAAATATATAACAAGCACATAAATAACAAGAAATGAAAATTCCAAAAAGTCAAATTAATGAATATTGAACAATTAAATAATTATTATAATTTTTTTTTGCTCTCAACATTCTTCTAATTAGAAATTTCAAAACATATTTATGAAAAGTCAATTCTAAAAATGAAAAAGAAATATTGAATATTCATTTCTTTCTTCTTTGAGGCGTCTTGTATGTTTAGTATTTTTATTTTCTTTTTTATAATTCACTTTTCAAATATAAGTTGTGAAATTTATCATTAGAAGAATGTTGAGAAGAAAGGAAAAAAAAATTGACAATAATTATATAAACATAATATTACATAGATGATAGGTTTAAAAGTAGAGATTTTATTCGTTAATTTGACTTTTTGGAATTTTTCGTTTATTGTTATTTATGTGCTGTTATATCTTTTACATATATATTTTTAATTATTGTGTTATAATACTATAGATAAAATTTCGACTTGAAAATGGACAAAATTGCCTGAAACGTCAAGAAAATTAAAATGATTTGAAGCATGGAGTAGAGGTGTGTAAGGGTTAAATAAAGTGATTTTCCTCGACATTATAAATTTTATTACTTATTATTTATTTGCTCATTCTTTGATGAACAAAAAAAACTGACCACCTCCAATGTAACACAAAAAATCGAAAAATAAGATATAAAAATAATTGTGTTCCATTTATTTAATTATAATCGACCCTCTAATCTTCAATGATAATTTCAGTACAAAAACGCTCCGATTTCTAATTCCTTCTCAATCTAAGGCTTGTTGCTCTTTCATGACACTATGCTCCGCCAGGCTTTCCTCCACCACTTCTCTCTGTTTTACCTCTGATCTTCCTTTTTTTCCTTCTTCCTTCTTACCAAACTTTTGGTAATCTTTTATTATTTCCTTATCAAATTATCATGAATATAATTTCTTAACAATGATGAATTTTTTTTTTTTATAACATTACATTCTTTGGCTTTCCTATCGCAATGAAATTATTTTTACTCTGATTTCCTCCAAAAACACACAAGGGAGAGGAGTAATATATTCAAACAAACAATTATTAAATTTAATTCAACTCTTTACTCTCAAGGCCTGGAAAATTGGAATAAAATTACAACATACGTAGTTGTGTGAGACACCACCTGTATCAACAAAATATGTATATACATATTAATTTATGTATAAATATTGGAATAAACTAAATCAATATCTGGTTGATAAATCTTACAGAATAGAGCAGTGGATAATCAAAATTAAAAAATCCCATTTCAGTAAAATCCTTGAACTTTACTATAAAGTGCCGAATTATCCTTTTCTGCAAAGTTAAAAAATTATTAAGTTAAATATCCTTAAGTTGTAATAAAATGATAGTATAAAACGGTGAGAAGTTGCTAAAGTAGTGAGACTGAAGAACTGTCCAAATTAAGGTCACTTTGGAAATAAACGACTCATTTCAGATATTTAATATTTTAACAATGTTTCGTATTTGTGTAATTAAGCTATTTTTTTCTCATTCAAAATACATCAGATCTATGTATTTATGAATATTGAAAAAATGTGAATCAATTAAATTTAAAAAACATCCAAATTCACCAAAAAATTATGTTTTCTAATCATACCTTTTATGTTCGGTAACCTTTTTTAAAAAACATTAGGCCAAAGGAAAAATTGACTAATATTATATTTAAAATAAAACGCGAGGATTGTGAAAATAAAGCATATTGCAGTGAAACCTCACAATGGTTTGAACAGGATTATCATAGCATACCACAAATAATGGACATAAATATGATTTTGGTGCAGCGTCAGTCCTTCATAAAGAACAGAATATTAACAAACGGAGAATAATAGAGTCAATGTTTATTTCTAAAAACCTCAAACAATCTGTAAATCAACAAACGGATGTACATAATCTAAACACTTTTTATGTTAGCGCAATAGACAAAATTAAAATATAATATACCGAAATATGACTTCCAATAAAAGAGATAAAACAACGGATCCCTAATCCCTCCATCCAACTCCTGTATAAAATAAATCAACATTATTTCAAACCAACGTGTTTCGAACCAACTTTGCAGTGCTTCTTCAGGGTTAAAACGAACAAGATACAAAAGGATATAAAAATGTGAAAGTTATATGATTCTTAGATAAAATTATAAACAGTGTGAATAAATAAAAAATATATAAATGGTGTGAATAAGCTTATTAAAATTGTAAAAAGTTTGTACAGAAAGTACATAGGAATATTAAGAACAATAAACATTATAAACAGAGTAAACAAAGTATAATTAAGTTGCCAGGTCCAAAACTAAAGTAAATAAATAGTAAAAATTATTGCAGATATAGAAAATTGAACGTAATAAGGAGGATGGGTAATATGCGAAAAGGAAAAATAACAAAAAATAGTAGACATAAAAGGAGTGCGAAGAAAACGAAAATAATAACACTTAAAAAGAAATAGAAATTTACGTATGTAGGAGTTTCAGTTGACTATCAAGTATTGGGGAAAATACTGGTAGTTGGATGGGGAGGCGTGGATTATTAGAATAACAAACATAATGCTATAGTGTAAAGTAATAAAAAAATATTACGTACTAAGGTTAACTTGATAACACTTGGAATTCTCTTTTAATATATGAAAAAACTTACAATTTCTAATAACAGGAGTAAATAAAATAACTGACTTGAATACACTAAAATTGAACTATCGTTAGTACATTTAAATCAGATTGTAAATACTTTACATTAAATAGTTGTAATATATTCAACTTTATCGCGTATTCATGTTAATATAGTAGGTTTATGAAGTAATATGTTGCTAAACTTTTAAGCACATTTTTGTGAATGCCAACCGTATGTATACAAATACGTATTGTGTGTCTCAAAATGGTAAGAACTCTTATAATTCAAAAAAAGTTATACAAACTAAATGTTCTTATTTCACTAAGAAGAAATTAATTTAATTTTATTAAAGAACTTTCGCAATAAATCTACGATATGTCTTATATATTAAATTTTGTATTTTGTTTTTTTAACGAACAACCTAATATTCGATACGACTAATATTCATAAATCTTGAATGAAAGCGTTAGTGATGAAGAACACATTTAATACCTTCTACAAAAGAGTATTACAGTATTTCAAGCAGAGGTATTTGGTATACTTTCCGCATCCACCTGCCTAGAAGTTACTAATTGCGAAAATGCTGGCATCACTATCTATTCGGATAGTCAGTCTGCGCTACAAGCATTGCAGTCTCTCAAAGTGACCTCCACACTGGTGAAGGAGTGTAAACAGGCTTTGGAGACACTGGCCTGCTCGAAGAGGGTGGAATTAGTGCGGGTTCCTGGTCACAAGGGAATTAAAGGCAATGAAAAAGCCAATGCCCTTACACGGAAAGGAGTGGAGTTTCCTATTGTAGCCCCAGAACCTGCAATAGGAATATCCAAAAAGCATCAGCGGAAAGAAGTCCTTGAATGGACCTGGAAAAAACAGATAAAGAATGGAGGGAATGTACCGGGCGGCTTAGACAGGAGAAGCAATTTATCAAAAGCCTCTCTCCCTCCAAAATAAAGTGGCTGCTGGGCCTAACTAGGAAAGAAATCCGACTCATCATCGGGGTACTAACAGGCCACTGCAGACTTAAAATACACTTAAAGATCTGTAGTGGATAGTGGATGATGAACTCCGCAATCTCTGCAGAAGTGCACCTGAAACTGTTCTCCACTTCATAACAGAATGCGACCGATTTGCGTCACTCAGATACAGACTTCTGGGCGCGCACAGAGTCCAAGTATGCAAAGCTGCCTCCATAATATGGCTCAACCTTTTGGACTTCGTTAGAAGAACAAAAAGGTTTGAAACAGAGTTGGAGGTACAATAGACAACCATTGGTAATGTCTTCTTTGGGGTTGGCAAAAAGGACCAATAGGCTCACTTGCCGAACTAAGTCCCCCCACCAGTACCAGTACCAGTTCTACAAAAGAGGTAGATAATTTGACATCAAATAATATTCATTTTGTTTTTATTTTATTTTATTAAAAATTTTAACATTCTATTTTAATTATTTATTTATAACTTTTAGGATTAAAAAACCGACATTCGGTGAAATAAAAGAATGACAAACCGACAAATTATATTATAATGACAAATTTAAGAATTTAACCGATACCTGGAGGTTTTGGAGAGGACACAAGTTCAATTTATCAAGTCATTGCTCCATTGGCCAAGAAATACACTGAACTATGTGGCTCGCCTTGAAAGTGGGAGATCTCCATTAAGTGATGAAGTGTTGAAAAAAGTGATCAACTATTGGACAAAGCTAAGCTTAATGAGTGACGAAAGACTACCTAGACAATGCTTTAATAGGCTTATATAGCTCTAGACTCATCCATTGGAAAACCTGATCCAACTTACAACTGGGTTACCCAAGTAAAGACGATTATGGCAGAACTGGGATGTCAGGGGCTGTTTTCTCCCAAGGTCTGATGAGGTTCAAAGATGAAATCATGGAAAAAATAACAAACCATCACGCATCCAAGGACATCGACAGAGTGTTAAACTCTAAATCAAACCCAAGATATAGAAAAATCTGCTCCTTTAATGTTACCAGACCAGAGGATTATCTTCAGTTCAGGGCTCTGAATTTAAACAAGTTAGTCGTCTCAGAGTAGCAAGTAAAGATTTTATGAAAATATACTTAAAAGATGCTACTTTAACTATTAAATCTTGTGAGGTATGTGGTGCATGCAACTGCCTTGTAACTGACCCGGTAACTCATTTTCTGATCCAATGTATCAAGTTCAACGAGCCGAGAAATAAGTACTTGAAGGCATTTATCACTGAATCCAGAGAAGATGCTAGTGTGGAGGAGATACTAAAAATAGACACTATGAAAAAAATAAACCAACTGTATTATTTCATACAAGGCTGTTCATTGAATTGTTAAGTGGTATATTTAATCATATAACATATATTAATGCTTATTTATATTGTCATTTGTCTTATACTTCTGGAATATTTAAAAAAAAAAAAATGTAATATTGAAAAAAAAAATGTTTTACTAATTGTTATGCATATATATATCGTTTACTAATCTGTTATTATATTAGTCATATTTAATGCTGTGGACATTGTTAATGTTATGTTTGAACGCAGTACTAGACTCAAGATCTAACATTGTTAATTATACCATTATATTTATTTGTACAGGAATTTCTTTAGACAAATAAAATAAACTATACTACTACTACATTAATTTTAACCACAATGTTATGCTATAAAAAATTTAGACTATGCATGTAACTGATTGTTATAAAATTAATGTGTTTTATAATTATATAGTTTAAAGTATAACAACTAAATTAAATTAGTTGGATCTTGAAAATGGCTCCCGAAGCCGAAACGTCGAATAAATAATACATAACGTGATAACGTGTACATTTAATGACCTTTAGCCTAATGTTTAAAAAAAAAAAAAAAAAAAATATGTGTTTAAATTTAAGCCCTCACATAGTATTCATGATTTATTTTTCAGCTAGTGTTGAAGGTATTAAAGAAAAAAAAATTTAATGATTATTATGTAAATTGTAAATTATTTACAAAATTAAAAAGTATGTTTCGTTAACCTACGTTTTTTATTTCATTCATTGATGTGAATATTCAGAAATACAGAATTTTTTTTTTTTTTATATATGATTTATCAAATAAACATCATAACTGCGACAATTTCGATAATATTTTTTAGTATACAAAGCAAAGTATTATTTAAAAAATAAATAAAGATGTTTAACATAATTCATTTACAAGGAAACTTTTAATTTTTACAGTGGATAAATTATAAAAAATTAAAAAAAAAAAAATTTATAATTGTGAATTAATGTTTGACTGTAGTGAATAATTGAAGAGAAGAATGGTTGGGATGATCAGTCAAAAAAAAAAAAAAAATAGATAATTATATTTATTTTTATATTTGCTGACGTTTCGGCCCAAAGTTCAGGCATTCATCAAGACTGGTCAAATGAAGGAGTGTCGAAAGAAACATATTATAGCGGCTATAATACATAATATATGTACTATAATACATAAGTCTTATATGTACGTTTGTCTTTTGACACTCCTTTGTTTGATGAAAGCCTGAACTTAAGAAGAAAACGTCGGCAAATATAGAAATAAATATAATTATTTATTTTTACTTTTTTTACTGATCTCCCAATCATTCTTCTCTTCAAAACAATTTATAACTATTATACATTTTATTTATAGCTATACATAACATTCTGAAACACTGTTGGCTACATTTGCTGATGACTC